TGCTCCAAGACATGGGCCAGTACATCTGTCTGGAAGCAAATACACCAACACATTGACTTTCTGATCTCTCACTGGACGGTATCGGATGTGTCCAAAACTAAAGGCAGCTGGCTTACTGCCTCATTGCACAGACTGTCAATGACTAGCCAGCGTTTGCTTTAATAATCACTTTAGCTGCTAGCCGTAATTGTTCTGCATTAAGTGAAATTGGATAAAAAGCTTAAATTAGAGGCTTGCCCCACTTTTACCCAGCCCTAGTTAGCAATGATGACCCATTTGCTTTGATGTGATGTGCGTCATTATTGTTTCAGAATTTAAGGCTCTTGTACATTCAGTGATCCCAAAAAGCACAAAAAATTATGAAGAAAAAGTGACATTAGTTTTCAGATGCCACTTGGTTTGGTATGATATTTATGTACATTTTTGGTCTCTTTACACTTGTCACTTCATGCATTTTCTCAGATCAGATAACTATCAGATTTGTTCAAACTGCTCCATTTACACTTGGCCACTTAAGTGCATCTCTGCAAAACAAATCTAACTCCGATCTTTAGTTCCGGTGCAAATTCGTTTAAGTCACCTCAAGTGTAGTGGCTTTCGTAACAGTCCTGATTAATCGTCAGCTGATTTATTTATCATCAGCTGGTTTCAAGATCAAAGTCCGCAACAGTTGAAAAATCATCATCAGCACTGGCGAAAGAATTTAGCGTTCACCACTTGACAAGATGATTGTGTGTTGAACATGCAAAAATGCCGCAGACTGATGATGTGATGCTAAACAGTGAGTTTCATTTGCATCAGTTTGCACATGCTGAAAACAGATGCTCATCTCCAGCTGGCTGTATCTGTGGAGATGTAAAGTGCTGTGGTATCTGAAGTGGTGATCGGATTGCAATCCGTCTTGAATGCGTTTCGAAGGGCATTTACCTGGTCTTTTGGCATCAGATAGATATCCGATCAAAGAAAACACTTGACCTGGCAAAGAGTAAATAGGCTCTTTAAATGTGACTACAGAGTCCAATTACCTTTGGGAGTTTCGGCAGGATGTATGAATGTGTAAGTCTATGTACTGTATGCCATTGTGTTACAGATCATTATCAGTAATCATTAACAGCACTGTGAAAGGTTGACTAACTTTAATAAAGCTCATAGGGTAAAGCTAACACAAGCATTTGACCTCTTTACTGCTACACAGCTTTGTGTCTTTAGAGACAAACAGACACAGATGGATCTTTAGGCTGATTATTGATCCTGCTGTGTGCTTTTACAGTTTAACATATGGAGGACGATCATCTCTGCCCCTGTGGCAGAGTCTCTCTCCATTCTTTTCTCTTTCTCTCTTGACCTCTGTGACAAACACACCTAGATTTTGTCCTCTTCTTCTAGTTCAGACATAAAATTACATTATATTTGCTAGTTAAGGATTCATCCAATTACACAGCAATTGTATCTATCTATCTATCTATCTATCTATCTATCTATCTATCTATCTATCTATCTATCTATCTATCTATCTATCTGTTGTTCTATCTGTTGTTCTATCTGTCTGTCTGTAATGTCAATAGGGTTTTGTGATAGTGTGTGTGTTTCTCATCTTTGCGCTGTTAAATCCTGGCTAATCTGATGCCACGTTGCACACACATAAATCTCCTTATCATAAACAGAACTGTCACTGATCTTCCGTAGAGATGGGAAGTGACATTTTTACTGTCGCGGCTGGACTAAACACAGGAAAACATAAAATCTCAGAATGCAACAGTTTGGCAGTGTATATAGGGCACAAGTCTTGTACAGACATCTAAAATTATTTATCATTAATCAATTATCTCCAGTCTTAAAATGCATTTTGCTTCTTCCTGGTGTGGCGTTTCTGTACATGTTATTGCCAAACGTAGTTAATCTCTACAAGCCACGTTCATCCTGAGCATCTGTAAGCCATCTGTCTCCCTAATACACATACACACACACACATTTGAAATGCTGAAAGTGCATGACCTCATATCAGATTGAGGCATGTGTGTGTGTGTAGGTGTCCAAAAGTGCTTTGAGTATAATCTTACACTCACAGAAAAACTCTACAGTTTCTTAACATCCTGCATTAAAAGAGTAGTCACACACACATAAACACTGACTCAGACATACAGTAGCATGGACACCAGATCTGTTTGAAATGATGTTATGTCTTTGAATATTTAGACTGGAGGAATTTATTGTTATCTTGGAACAAATCCAGAATTGAAATGAAGATGCTGACTCTCGTGATACTTATTATTGAGTTCTTGTAATCTCTTACTTTTTAAGGCAAAAACATTTCTACTCATCCCTTACAATTGTACTTCCTTTCAGCGTGCAGTTTAAAACAGGTGTCATAAAAAGCTCAGTGACTTCATGTTCATTGTCCTTACGTGACCTTGCCTTGTCAAAGCATGCATGATCACTGCATAAAGAGAAATGGCCTTTATATTAATAGGAGGCAAAGGAACGTCCTGGAACACTAAGTGTCTGTTCTCTCACAGTCCATCATTAAAAGAGTCCAGCTGTGTTGCTATCTCTCCTAAAGACACAATCACACTTCAAAGTGCTACTTTCACAACAACTACGAAGCGTTCATAGGACGTTCTAGCAATTATGTTCAGACTGTATTTGCACACAGCAGGGACTGTGAAGGAGTGTGTGGAGGTCATGAGAAAGCCACAACCCTCTGGATGGGTGCGTGGGTATTAAAGAGAGGCCCAGTACTTTATGATATTAATGGACTGTGTGAAGGGAGAGAATGCCACTAAATAGATCAAGAGACCTGCTTCAGAGAGCTTCAAGTCCACATTAGGAGACAAACACATCTACACACAGATCAGACTTAAAAATCTGTTGATATCCATTGGCGGCTATATCCAGTGATATCTGTGGGGCTCCCCCTTAACCATAAAATGGGGTCCTGCTAACAAGCAGTGATGTCTCATGTGATAGTTATCTATTATTTAGCAGTTTTGTGCTCCACTTAGATGTTTTCCTTCCATCTTCCTGGATTTCTATCATTTAAAATGTTTAGTCAGCAAACTTTGGTATTGGCAGTCAGTTTGCGACTTGTTTCCTGCCAGATCTACATTCAGTTTTCAGACGTGATCTATTGTTTCCTGCGATTGTGATTCCAGAATAAATAAATTTTTGACATATTGAAAAGTCAATGTAAGCACACCTTGTCCTTGTAAATGGGGCACTTCCTTTGCAGATGACTCTAGATAGGTAAATCTATCCTGAATTTCATGTGGTATATAACCATTTGACTTATTGTGTGTCTCATATGCCAGTTTTTCCACTTAGCAATAAAATGAAGATCAAAAAAGTGAATGTTCAGATAATATTTCAACAAAACCACACCACTCCAGTCCATTAATTTAAGTCTTGCAAAGCATAAACCAGCATAATTGTGAGAAACAAATCCATCATTAAGGCGTTTTAACCTTAAATCATCACTTCTGGCCAAAATGCAGGTCCATAATCCATAATAAAACGGATTCATCCCCTGTTGTCCTCTCTCATCAGAATCCACCGACATATTTGTTTAGAACTGTTTTGGTTCGTAAACGGTACTTGATCTGTGCATATTTCTCTCCTGATTCAGACAAGACAACGTTTTCACTGGGGAAAAGATTTTATTGATAGAGGACTCTAATGATGGGTTTGTTTATTACATAAAGTGCAACTTTTCACTTAAAAATATTAATTGGTGGACTTGAGTGGTGTGCATTACTTGAGCATTATTGTGCTGTTTTTATCAGCTGTTTGGACTCTCATTCTGACGGCACCCATCCACTGCTGAAGATCCATTGGTGAGCAAGTGATGTAATACTACATTTCTCTAAATCTGTTCCGATGAAGACACAAACTAATCTACATCTTGGATGACCTGCCTTTACTTTTCACAATTAAAAAAAAAAAACGTAATAGTCCTAATAAACAGGGTTAATTTTTAATCTAAAGCAAACTCCTTTATGAATATTTGGTAACACTTTATAATAACTGCACTCTATGAATCATTAGGTAAGCATTAGTAAATAGTCAGTTCATCCTTTATAAAGCATTGTCCCAACATTAATAGTCATTAGTAAGCAGTTTATAAATAGTTATAAATGCCTTGTTCTTGATTTATAAGCACATCTATTACAAAGGAGATTAAAGGCTCAGTTGTCTTCCTAACAAACAAACAAAAATAAATAAAAAAATAAATAAAAAAAATAAACAAACACAACACAGAGGAATACAGAACTCAGAAATATTTATTTCAAGATGCAATAAAATGAAACTACAATTGTACACTTGAAAAATGATTTTTAAATAAAAAAAAAAGATCAAGTGTACAGCTGTACAGTTTCATTTTTTGCATCTTGAAAAAATATTTCTGTGTTCTGTATCCCTCTGTGTTGTGTTTAGCTTTTCTGTTTGGAAGATAAATGCTCCTTTAAATCTCCTTTGTAAATGCTTTACAAAGTATAAATAGTCCTCACTTTAGATGAGCTCACAAAAATAGATGGCTGGCAACTACTAAATGTTTTATAACAACCTGACTTAATCATGAACACACTGAGCAACTATTATCATGTGTCTAAATAATAAGATTTATATATGTACATTTAAATAGTTTATTAATCATTTACTTACACTTTCTTAATGATCTTATGAACCACTGACAACTCCTAAATAACTGGTTTGTACATAACATAATAATTTAGAAATAATAAAGTGATCGTTAATAAAGTATGAAAATACAATTACTAATACTAATGCCTATTAATGTTGGAACAATGCTTTATAAAGTATGAATTGACTAATGCTTAACTAATGATTCATAGTGTGCAGTTATTATAAAGTTTTACCTAATACTTATATGAACCTTGAGTTTTTAATTCTCCACCAGCTGTTTTTTGCATTTGCTTCCATCATTCATCAAAAAGTATATCACTTACATGGTAACTCAGCATAATGCCTATATGTTTGTGTAGGAGGCAGAGATTCAGCGGGTCTTGGAGGGAAGGGAGGCCCTTACCGTCTGGATGCTGGACACAAAGTTTACCAGATCTCTCAGGCGGAGAAAGACGCTGTGCCCGATGAGTTGAAGAGAGCAGCACGGGAGATGGCCGAGAAGGCTTTTAAGCAGAGGTACACCCATCTGTCTCTTTCATTCATCACTCACTCAGTTCCAACCCTCACAGATTTCTCCCAAAAGCCTACACTTGACCCTGCGTGACCTTTACCCTCTGCTCTGAGTGCTTGTTAATCTCTCTAGATATTCTGCAGTGCTCTCTCAACGAAGCTCGGAAACACTCTGTCCTTGTGAAAGCATATCAGTATATTCTTGTCTGAGGCTCTGTTTTATAATGTACTGAGCTGCCCGAGTATGCAGTATATGCATTAGTACTGAATATGTCCTTTGATGAAAAGGCAATCCCATAATGCATTGCATTGAGCTCAGTGGAAAAAAAAACTGATGCAAGACAGGGTTATTATAGTTCAATCATGACAACTCTCTGAACTTTTTAGCATGGTGATGGATATGACAATGTTAATGTATTTGGTCTTGGCGGAACAGATCTGCTACGCTGCTGCTGAATTGCTGCTGCTGTTGGTTATTGCTGTAGTTGTAGATTATTGCTGCTGCTGCAAGCAAGTACAGGAACTTACTACTGCCAATGCATATGGCGATACGGTGCCATGAGTATTGAAGACATACTGCTGCTGCACAAATAGCATATAGAGTTTCATGACTGAACTATATATTTATAGTAATTAAAACCATTTTTTAAAACATGACACAAAATAAAATTCAGCTAGTTGCCAAGACTGCATTTTTCATTTTACAAAATAACTAAAATGAAAATGGAAATACCAAAAAAAATATGAACTTATTAAAAAAAAAAAAAAAAAAAAAACTACAACAGTGTCTCAATGATAGTAAAATAACACTGATCCAAGATGGCAAATTAAGTGAGATATTGATTTTAAATATTCTTGTATTTAAAGTTAATATTAATTGTCATTTGCATCCCATTTTAATTCCATTTTAATTCCACTCATGTGAGTAAAACAGAACATTGTTTGAAAAAGTTGGGGTTTTTTAAGCATCAAGAACTTATTGGATCATGAAAAGTGACGATAAATGCCAGGATATGAATATGTGTTTGAACAACAAAAACAAGCTTTTTTTGGAATATTTTGGAATATTTTTGGAATATCATACACTGATAATTCATTCACAATAAGACAATCAACCTGTATCAACTGTAGTACTACGCTATTTTTACTCCACAGCTAACCGTATTTGAACCATAGTTCATACTTTTAACTGAATAAATGAGTTTTCACGTTGAACAGATTTTTTGTTAAATCTAAGCAACTTAAATAAATGCATTTTGAAAATATGATTAAATCAAATCAAACAGATGCAAATATTTAATAATAAACTATGCAGAGTTTTTTTTTTTAGTTCATTTATGTATCACTAACAGATATGCATCATAATTAGTTTATTAATTTGTTTGTTAAAACTGTGTAATTCAAATGGATGGAAATTTTGAGTTTTCACGTTGAACAGATTTTTTGTTAAATCTAAGCAACTTAAAAAAATGCATTTTGAAAATATGATTAAATCAAATCAAACAGATGCAAATATTTAATAATAAACTATGCAGAGTTTTTTTTTTAGTTCATTTATGTATCACTAACAGATATGCATCATAATTAGTTTATTAATTTGTTTGTTAAAACTGTGTAATTCAAATGGATGGAAATTATATATGCAAATACATAAATCTTAATTTAGGCCTAAATATTTTTGGTGTGTCCTTTGCTTATTTTTAAAGCTTATTTTGTTCTTAAAGGGGGATTAATATGCCTTTTCTTGTTCTTTTGAAATTAAATTGTTTTACTAAAGTTACGAAAAACAGCTTTTTCAATTCTGAGAGTTAGAGAGAGGACAGAAAATGCATTAGGAGAGCACTATCACTAAGTGAAGAATATGGCTCTTGTGTGTCGCCATTGAAATTTAATTTAGTGAGAAAATCTAAGCTTGTCTTTATCTTAAACATCACAGGAATGCAGCTTTGTGTGCTGTGTGGTGTAGAGCAGTGGTTCCCAACCCTGGTCCTTGAGGCACCCCAACACTGCACGTTTTGCATGTCTCCTTAATCAAACACACCTGATTCAGACCATCAGCTCATTAGTAGAGACTTCAAGACCTGAAACTGGTGTGTCAGAGAAAGGAGACATGCAAAATGTGCAGTGTTGGGGTGCCCCCAGGACCAAGGTTGGGAACCACTGGTGTAGAGTATATGACCAGAACCCTGATGTAGACGAGCAGCTTTTGATGTAACATGCCTTTTATGCTCTGTAATCTTAACAAATCAATATACTTGTGCTGTAATGCTGAAATTCGAAGATGATAATTCTATAGAAGAGTGTGGCAGACTTTCAGAAAGATGCTCAGATCAAGATCGGGCACGTAAACTATAATATTTATGACTTGACATGGAATTATAACTTCTGGAATTGAACAATCTTTTAAAATGCTGATATTATCAAACTTTCATCAAATCCATTAGTAATATCCTCTGATGTTTGTGCGCTAAAAATACTGTCAGATATCATTGTTAAGTGAGGACATATTACAAAATACCAACATTAGCAATAAAAACAATGTAAATAATATTCACAATATGTGTTTTTCTACATAAGTAGTGAAATTAGTATGATTTCCTTCTTTACAAATTGTGGGTCCTTTTCTATCCATAGTAACGCTTAACGCTGTTGAATTCTTTTACGTTTGTCGTCTTTGTGCTGCACGTTGTTGTGATCTGCATGCTATCTGTCACGTTCACAATATTTCATTCTCAGCTGAGATGGCTTGTGTCAGGGGTTTCCACAGGAAGAGGAACTTTATTTACCTTTTTTGCAAGTGTGTGTTGCACCCGACAAACCACCATTACTTTGTAAAACTAATCTTTCAACATTGCTGAACTATGATATAGGAAAAGCTGAATTTTCAGCATCATTACTCCAGTCTTCAGTGTCACACGATCCTTCAGAAATCATTCTGATATGCTGATTTGCTGCTCAAGAAGCATTTATTCTTATTATCAATTTTGAAAACAATTGTGCTGCTTAATATTTGTGTTGAAACCGGGATAAATAATTATTTAAGGATTGCTTCGTGAATTTGTGTGAAATTGAAATCTTCTTTAACATTATAAAAAATGTTTACTGTTTAATTTGACCAAATTATAGCAATCCTTACTGAATAAAAGCATTAATTTCTTTTGAAATTCTTACTGACTACAAACTATTGAAGACACGATCCTATAATGAAATAAAGTTGGTGACATGATTAGGGCAGTATTTTACTTGCTCTCCATTCATTGTTCTGAGCAGTTTTCCGAGGCTTACAAACATTCCTGATCTTGATACAGGAATGACATTAACCATTGCTTTATTCCTTACTTGCTTATGCATATGTAAAAACATATAGCGGGAGATTTACACTGTTCTGCAGAGCAACCCATCGGCTGTTGTTTTCTTGTTTTACCACAAATCTCACAATTTGCCAAAAGAGTAAGATAAATAAACGTAATTCACTATTTGTTCTCTGAGAAGTTTTGACAGTTTTGCTTCTCAAGTAAATATATCTTGTTTTGACAAACCACCATTACTTTGTAAAACTAATCTTTCAACATTGCTGAACTATGATATAGGAAAAGCTGAATTTTCAGCATCATTACTCCAGTCTTCAGTGTCACACGATCCTTCAGAAATCATTCTGATATGCTGATTTGCTGCTCAAGAAGCATTTATTCTTATTATCAATTTTGAAAACAATTGTGCTGCTTAATATTTGTGTTGAAACCGGGATAAATAATTATTTAAGGATTGCTTCGTGAATTTGTGTGAAATTGAAATCTTCTTTAACATTATAAAAAATGTTTACTGTTTAATTTGACCAAATTATAGCAATCCTTACTGAATAAAAGCATTAATTTCTTTTGAAATTCTTACTGACTACAAACTATTGAAGTGTAGTTCATATAATGAAATAAAGTTGGTGACATGATTAGGGCAGTATTTTACTTGCTCTCCATTCATTGTTCTGAGCAGTTTTCCGAGGCTTACAAACATTCCTGATCTTGATACAGGAATGACATTAACCATTGCTTTATTCCTTACTTGCTTATGCATATGTAAAAACATATAGCGGGAGATTTACACTGTTCTGCAGAGCAACCCATCGGCTGTTGTTTTCTTGTTTTACCACAAATCTCACAATTTGCCAAAAGAGTAAGATAAATAAACGTAATTCACTATTTGTTCTCTGAGAAGTTTTGACAGTTTTGCTTCTCAAGTAAATATATCTTGTTTTGAGACAATATAGATATTTTATTATACTATATAATCATTAAGAACAATGTTTCTATTTCTGTTGTGCCTATGTTGTGAAAGTGTAGTAGTGTGTTAGTCAATCGAGTGAAACAGAGCACTTTTTCACTCTCATTCGTGGCATGGTCACACTGGCCAGCTCTCTCCGCTCTGTGGACAGGTTTGGAATTCAGGAGAAAATAGCAGCAGCAGTCTGCCCTCTCTCCAATAACTGTGCAAAGAATGTGAGCTTCAGAAGCCAGACAGGAAACCCACAGCCCGTGTGCGTGTGTGAGAAAGAGAAGCACAGCAGGAAGAAGGAGAATGATAATACCACAAGCAAGAAGAGTGCGCTCTTTACGTGTGCTGCATTATCTGTTGTAGCACAGAAACAATCTAGCGGCACTTGTGTGACATTTTTGGTCTCGGTGCTGATGGAGAGGTGAGGGATGATTTAGTTTGAAGGGAAACACAGTGTGACAGTATTTTGGGATGGGGCTTCAGATCACACTGTCTGGTCTGATCTCACGCCTGATAGTGTCGGTGTGTGAGTGCACCTGAGCTCTGTGGGCCGCTACGGTCTAGACGCTCTTCACACTCTGTTTCCTCCTCATGACATCAAACGCCTCTCTAACACACACACATTCATGCAGGCACATCCTGGGTCTGAGCAGAAGAGCAGGATGAACTGTAGAATCAGTTTAGGGATTATTGGCTTCACCCCACCTGGGCGGCAGAACGCACCCCTGCTGAGGGCTGTCCATCAAATGACTGAGGGAATCTCACTAAACCTATCAGGAACACGGGTCATATTTCACAAAAAAAAAAAAAAATATATATATATATATATATAAATGTTATATATTTATTATTATATTATATTATAATGTTATGTTATGTTATGTAATTTATATGCAGTTGCTTTGCCGACCAATGGCTGACAGATGGATTGTTCAGGAAACCTATTTGCAGTTCTGGCACAGTTTTTCAGATTACAAATTTCAGATTACAAATCTCTTTCAAAACAATAAAATAAAATGTATGGTGTTTTTTTTTTCCTTTTTTTTGTATTTTTTTTTTTATGATAATTAAGCACAACCCCTCCTAATTCTCACTATTTTAATGCAGGAAGTAATGTAAAAAGAAAAAAAATTGATATAATAAAATAGTATTAAACTATAAAAAATTAATTATTTAACTAATTATTTTATGAATATTTATACATCATAGTTTTAGTTGTACTGCGTTTTATTTATGCTAATAAAAAAAATACAAAAATAAAATTCAGTAATAAAAATAAACTGAAAATGTAATGTAAAAGAAAAGAAAAGAAAAAGTAAAGTGTCCAGGCTCATTCGAGAAGTAAACATAAAAATGCCATACAAGACAGAGGGTCAGGGCCCACTAGGGCTTAAAAGTAGTTAAATTAATAAATTATTATTAATATATTAAAATAATCGAAGTCTAATTTAAAATAAAATACTTAAAAACATATGAAATCATATTTCCAATTTGTACAGTGTCCCAACTTTTTTGGAATTGGGTTTGTATTTCCTCTTTTATTTGCTATAATTAAAGAAGAAAATATCTTAATATTTTAATGTTAGGGTTCATTAAAGGTAATGTCTTAGCTCAAATGGGGCGAGAGAGAGGCTCCTTTAAATATTATATTGGACATCTAGGGGCCTTCGAGTCAGAAAGTTTGAAAACCACTGAATTAAGCTTCAATTTCTTTATTTTTTCCCCTTTTTTATATTTATGTATGTATGTATGTGAAATGTGAGCTGGACATTCATGCAGAGATCCTCGTGGGTGACTAGTGACCTGGCAGAGCTCTTACACCTACACTGATGGGACTGACTGGGCTTTGAGCACCTGGGTGTTTGTTGCGTGTGTGTGGGTGCTGGTCGTGGAGCTGTAGGGACTTGCCCCGAGAGAAATGTTTATCCTACACCTCCTACTCTCAAGTGTGCGTTATTCTCTATCTTGACAGCTGTACTTAATGTGTGACTAAACAGAACCTGTATTGATCAATGTCCTCTGAAATCCTGCCCCAGAACACTCCTTAAAGACTTACTACACATTGTTCACAAGTTTAAACACCTCAGGGCAAGAACCTAAATGAAGAGAGATTTTCTGAAGAAAATGTTAGTAGCTCTTACCTGTACAAAACTCACAGCCAAGATGCTAGAAGAATACGAATGTGAGGTATCTAGGGTGGCCGCTAAGTGGTCGCTTAATAAGACATATGATTTTGAAGAATTATAAATGTCTGTAACACAAACAGATTGGGACACAGTGAAGTTTAATATGTATGGTTAGAGGTTTGTCACATGAGCAGTGATAATGATGGTGCTTTGCTCTGCATGGTTAGTAACAGTAAACTGCAGATTGTGTTTCTGTGTTTAATGTGTTGCATTTTTATTTCAGGCTCAAGGAAATTGAGATGAATGAGTATGATGCCACCACGTACAAGCGTTACTCAGGAGCGGTCAGACGTCAGGTCCAGTCGCTCCGCATCATTCTGGAAAGTCTGCAGGTGAATGCCTCTTGTAGTCCCGCACTTCAGCAGTGTTCAGTCCAGCGATTCCCAAACATTTTCATGCTAGTAATCACAGTAGTCAGCAGTAAAGACTTTTATATTGAAAGAGACTAAAACAGGGCTGTAAACAAGGAGGTTATTTTTACTTTCAACAACAGCTTGTAAGATGCTGCCAACAAATGCAGTGAGCAGTGCTGTCATCGGAAATCACCCTTAACAGATGAAAGGACAGTATGACAAAGATATCGCTTTCCTCAGCGGACATTCAAACTAATGTTTTATTGTGAATATGAGATTGAGCTGAAGAATGAATGCAGTATCAGAGGCAGGTAATCACACTCGCTCAGTCCTTCTCTCTCTCATAATACTCTGAATAATACAGTGAGCTTTTAATACAGTGATACAATAAGCTTTCAATGAAGCAACTCAACGTTCCTTTGTTACTAGTAGGGGTGCAACGGATCGTGGATGATCCGTGATCTGTACAGAGCAGACCCCACGGTTTGGCGCGAATGTGATTTGCGGATTAACTGTTAAATTTAACAATTATAGAGTTAGAAGTTCATCGTTTGCATGTGTTTTTTCTTGCCAGTTTACCCATTCAAACTATTTTAAACCATTCAAGCAAAAGAGAACACGCGCGCTGTTTTCTATTGCTGTCGCACACATCCGAAGCAAGCACACGCAGAGAGAGAGAGGTGCGATTCACACAGATTGATTCCTCTTTCACTCTCTTTGAAAGGAAACATACACACAAAGTTATATTAAAATACCCGTTTTGGCAAGTATTCTGGTAAACACAGTCGGTTCTGTCTTAAGTGAACCGAAACAGCTGAGAAAGAAAGCGGATGTGTGTCAGTATATTAGGTACGTGCATTTGGTCTTAAAGAGACCCAGCCTATTATATGCCTGCTTCTGTCTACTATATTTAACTTATGCAGTGAAGAGCACTATTGTGTTATTTTACAATTATTACATTTCTGCACCTGAAGGCTAGTGTTACTGACTTTATTAGTAACTTTATTTTGTATTCATCCATGCATGTAATTTGTGTAATTGTTCTTGCTTTATTATTGACTTTATTAGTAACTTTGTTGTATTCATCTACGCTTGTAATTTGTGTAATTGTTCTTGTTTTATTGCTGACTTTATTAGTTCAGCTAGTAGTTTTTGCTGTGGTATAGAAGCACTTAAAGTAAGCTTTCAGTAATAAATGAAAAGCAAAATTTTTTTTTTTGCTGATCCGAAAAATTATCCGATCCGTGACTCAAAATCCGTAATATGGTTCGAATCGTGAGTTTTGTGATCCGTTGCACCACTAGTTACTAGTTCTAAAGTGACGTTTTCGAATTAGTAATGGAGGCTTGAGCTCAACTGTTCAACTGTTTGAATCCGTGGCGGAAGGAAGTAGTTCTGCACAAAAGAGGGTTTTTAATGACACTCTGTTGTTGTTTCTTATGTCTCTTCAGCCGTCTTACACTTCTGCCGTCTAGCTGTTGTATAAACGCAATATCACACTCGTAGCTGTGCGATATGGCTGTATATCGCACTGCTACTCATGTGATATTGCTCATATACAGTGGGTACGGAAAGTATTCAGACCCCCTTAAATTTTTCACTCTTTGTTATATTGCAGCCATTTGCTAAAATCATTTAAGTTAATTTTTTTCCCCTCATTAATGTACACACAGCACCCCATATTGACAGAAAAACACAGAATTGTTGACATTTTTGCAGATTTATTAAAAAAGAAAAACTGAAATATCACATGGTCCTAAGTATTCAGACCCTTTGCTGTGACACTCATATATTTAACTCAGGTGCTGTCCATTTCTTCTGATAATCCTTGAGATGGTTCTACACCTTCATTTGAGTCCAGCTGTGTGTGATTATACTGATTGGACTTGATTAGAAAAGCCACACACCTGTCTATATAAGACATTACCGCTCACAGTGCATGTCAGAGCAAATGAGAATCATGAGGTCAAAAGGAACTGCCTGAAGAGCTCAGAAACAGAATTGTGGCAAGGCACAGATCTCGCCAAGGTTACAAAA